ATGGCACTTAATAACAACAACAATCCAGATCAAAGCTGTTATTCCTCAAATCATCACCCAAAGCAGTTAATGCTCAAATCTTGTAAGACTTTTCTAAAACCCTTCTCCTGAGAGATCCTAGTGTTCCTTATTGAAAGTGTTCCTTCTTGTTGTAATGAATAATTAACACAATAAAGTAGAGATGTGCTCCTAGTGGCTTGGACTGGATGGCATTGGCAGCTGAAATAGTCTGGCTATTTGGTAAGAGAATCTCGCTTGCCCTCTTTAGCTTGTTGTTGTTGTTATCTGCCATGGAGTCCGTACCGACTCATAGCGACCCTGTACAGTGTTTCCGAAGCTGTAAATATTTACGGGAGCAGAAAGTGTCATCTTTCATCCCCAGAACAGCTGGTAGTTTTGAACTGCTGACCTTAAGGTTCGCAGCCCAATTTTTAACCACTATGCTACCAGAGCTCCTTAGTTTATAGTGTCTGTGTAAAAGTTTGATTCTACCAACACAAATACATGGATGGACAACTGCTACATTTCAGAGAATATGAAGAAAGGAACTTTATTACAAACTAGTTCCCTGTATGACATTCACAGTCTATTTCATTATTGAACTGAAAAAATTTTCATAGAAATCAGTTTTGTTAGAGCCCCTTTCATGTCCTTGTTCCTCAGGCTGTAGATGAAAGGGTTCAGCATGGGGGTCACCACTGTGTACATCACAGCCGCCGTGATGTCTTCCACAGCTGAGTGAGAGGATGAAGGGTTGAAATACACAGCAATGATGGTGCCATAGAAGAGGGAAACCACAGCCAGGTGGGAGCCACAGGTGGAGAAGGCTTTCCATTTCCCCTTTGTGGATGGGACTGTCAGGACAGCACAGGTGATGCAAATGTAGGAAACCAGGATGCAAACAAATGGGGTGATCATTACCAGGGCCCCCTCAGTAAGAATCACCATCTCATTGAGGTGTGTGTCAGAGCAGGAGAGTCTCAAGAGAGGGGTCACATCACAGAAGAAGTGGGGGATCGTGTTGTCTGCACAGAATGAGAGTCGAGCCATTAGCAGGGTATGCAACAGAGCATTCATATTGGCAATGACATAAGATGCAGTGATGAGCAGGGCACAGAGCTGAGGGGTCATCCTCATTGTGTAGTGTAGGGGATGGCACACAGCGACAAAGCGATCATAAGCCATTATAGCCAGGAGGAAATTGTCCATGTCTGCAAACATAATGAGAAAATACATCTGCATGAGGCAGCCAGCAAAGGAGATGGTCTGGCTGCTAAGTATGTGGTTGGTCAGCATCTTTGGCACAATAGCGGAGGAGAAGCTGACGTCCACGAAGGACAGGTTGCTGAGGAAGAAGTACATGGGGGTGTGCAGATGGGAGTCTGTGCTGATGGCCAGGATGATGAGCAGGTTTCCCAGGACTGTGACCAGGTACATGCTCAGGAAGAGCCCGAAGAGGAGCTGCTGCTGGGGCTGCCTGGAGA